CATAAAAACTAGTGCCTTGTCAGCAAATTTCTCAAACCTCTGACCATTTCCAAAATCTTCAAAACCTACAATTTTGTCTAAACTTGTGCTGTAAGTGAGACCTGCTTCTAAATGTATTTCATCGAACATTAGGACTGAAATTTTATGCTCTTTTGTCATTTCTTTAACGCTGCTTCTTAAACTCGACAACATATTGTCGTTAAGTCCACAATCGAGACTAATTTGCTGCAACAACCTGCTTAGAGTTGCTTTTGTGGGTAAAGCAAAAATTTTTTGTAGTAATCTGTACCCTTTTGGGCTTTGTTTGTATAAAGTTAGGGCCATTAATTTATTATCCAAGGAAAAACGTCTTCCATGCTTTTTTCTGTTTTGCTGTGTTATTTGCATCATAATAAAATTAGCAGTCGTTTCATTTACCATGGTTTGTAACTATTCTTTTGTTAATGACAAACATTTACTGGAAAGTCTTTCTTTCAGTCCATCATTTTCTTTTTCAAATGACAAACTTATTCTCCTTAAATTTTTAGCCACTCTATAAAGTTTGTTTTGTTTCGAAGAAAGTTTTGTTTTTCTTGTATCATTCACCATTTGCAGCAAATTAAGTTTTCTTACATAACAGAATACAATTTTGATAGTACATATTTAATATTTATATACCTTTTCTATTTTTTGGTGTAGTTACATTCAGTTGATTAGACACATTAATTGGTGGCGTTAAGTTTCTACTAGCAGCAGTGGAAGTACTTGGTGCCATAACTGAAATGTTCAATTCCATATTAGAAGTACTTGGTTCCATTGCTGAAGTACTTGGTTCCATTACTGAAGTACTTGGTTCCATTGCTGAATAGGTTGAAATTTTTATTTGATTGATTTGTCTCTTTTTAGTTGAGAAATTACACAGAGGCACTATAATGCTTTCTTCCAATGAGTACGATTTAGAACCTAAAAAAAGAGACATAAGAATAATATGGATTTATATAATATACATATCAACAGATTCTAATAATTTGTAACAGGAAACTGCAGAATTACCTATTTATTTTTACTTTGTGTTGTAAATGATTATTTTTGCATTGAAATATTTATGTTACAGTCAAAGCCTACACTTGCAACAACAATACCCATGGAAAACCTAAATGATCTGCCTATGGTAGGATTAAAACAGCATTACTGACAATATCTATTTAGAATTACTTAGCTAAATTAGCTTTAAATTATGTTTATGCTTATACAATAGATTAAATTAAGTACAAGGCATATAAATTTGTAATCCTATTTACTAAGTCAAAGTCAATAAAGGTCTTTAGATTTCCAGGAAAAGCTTCATGTGTGTGTCCCTTTAATTATGTACTTAGAAGCAAATTGGTATTAAATTGCTATTAGGTATTGTTTATTAATAATATCTATTTAAAATTACCTAGCTAAATCAGCTTTAAATTGTGTAAATCAAATTTGGTGCATCAAGGCATCAGCAATTTTAATCCTATTGAGTAAGAAAAATACATTAACAATCTTTGGATTTCCAAGAATACCTTCGTGTCTGTTTAATTAGGTACTTATAAGCAAATTAGTATTTATTTGCTATTAGGCATTGTTTAACAATATCTATTTAAAATTACTAGCTAAATTAGATTTAAATTGAGCTTATGCTCATACAATTATAAATCAAATAAGTAGAAGGCATCAGAATTTTTAATCCTATTTACTAGAAGCAAATTAGTATTAAGTTACTACTAGGTATTGTTTACTATTCATGTTCATAAACAACAAAATTTTGGGATTTGACTGAAACGTAAACATATGAAAAACTTGCTAATATTTCAATTTGTGATAAGTTTACAAAATAAAAGTTTTTTTGAAATAAATTAAGCACTAAGCTGCACTAAGGATGTATTTTTTATATACCTATTACTCTTTTATTTAAATTGTTAGGTATTGTGGACTTACAGAATTGACGTGTTGGCAAGTTGGTTAATTTTGTATTTTTTTTTTAATTTGAAGTGATACTGACTTTTTTCTCATTTCTTATGAATATTTAAAATGTAAAATGAATTGTAGACTATTTTATCAAAGATAATAATAATATATTTGCATGTAATACCTATATAACTGAGTTTAAGTAAAAGTATGTTTCAGATTTTTTAAGGAATAATAATCTTATTCTGCATAACATAACTAATGTTATCTTTATGCTAGCTATCAGAATAACAGGGTAACTAATTTTTTTTAAATTATTTTTCAAACAAAAAATTACACACATACCTGGCAAATTTCTTACAGGTAATGAACCTAATTTTAGTCTTGAAGTCCCAACTTGAACACATCCTTAATTAAAATGATTTCCACACACTCTATAATTTTTGTACAGCTTATCCTTATCCATAAACATTAAATTGTCTCTGCTTATTCTCTGGAGCCATATTTCACAAACCTAAGAAATAAAATCTAGATCAATACTCAGCTAATGTAAAAAAAAGTTACAGAGGGCCGGGTACAATTTAGGTAGGTACATCGGAATTTTGAAAAAAAAAAATACTAAAAAGTATCCTTTCTGCAAAGTAAATTTCTATAAAAAATGCAAATAACAGAATATATTTGGAAAAAAATAACCAAAAGTTACAAATATATCCAATACAATTAGAATTATTATTAAAAAAAATGAGGACAAGGAAAATATTAATGAATCAATTATTTATTTATTTATAAAACAATTTAAGTTAGTTACAAAACAAAAAACGTGACATTTTGATACATTTTTTAATTGTAGAAAAGAAATTATTGCAAAGATAATTGACTGTAAAGTTAAATTCGATTTATTAAATAAGTATTTTGTGAATAATTTATGAATGGTCGATGTCCATATAAGGCAAATCGCATATAATTATCAAAAAATAGTGGGTATTTTTTACTGTATACAATTTTTTTCCTTATTAAGACGTACCTGGGGGTGACCAGGTTTTAACTTTGTGAAAACCCCAGGACAAATACTTGAAAATATTTAGAATCATTTTTTTGATGGGCATAAAAATTACTTACATAGATGTAAATTTTAATATAAATTCAGGACAATCCGGGGAAAACAAGACGCTTAGACATAACTAAAAAAACTAAAGCGTACCGGAGCCACAAAAGACAATAATAGGTAATATAAATTTAAACAGTTACTTGTGTATAATTTACGGGAAAACGATACATTCTTGCCGTTTTACCATCAATACAACAACCTGGAACACAACAACTATTCACCATTTTATAATCAGTTCAAACACAAAAGCACTATCAATCACAAAAATCATAAAAATTATTTTTTCTATGAATGAGTAAAATAAACAAATGTTTGTGGTTATGTAGGCATTACTTTCGCAGTGTTGCCAGTGTTACACGATGATAATCCCATATTACCCGAAATCACCATTAGATGCAATAAGAAAGATTATTTCAGTGACAAATATTTGAAGACATTACTTTTCAAGGCAATAGTACATTATAAATGAAAAACGCTATAATCTTTGATGAATAAACAAAAGGTCAATTAATTTGTGTTCATTTGTAGATTAAGAATACTCAAAGTTCGGGTAAAATCTTTGCCACTGGCAACGCTGCACAAGCGTGTCCTATAAACGGTGACGGTGGCGACCTCACGACGGCGGGGGTATGAAACTTAAGACGCATTGACCTTGACGGTAAGAGTGGATACACCACAAAGCACATAGAGGTTCCACGTGAATGACCAAGGTCAAAACCGACAATTGACATTTTTTATGCTATTTGCTCCAAACTCTAGATGGGGCTACTGGTAAAATTCTGATTTCTTACTCCATTTTTAAGCTTTATGGGAGAAAAACCCAAAGACTCCAAAGATGTGACGTGTATTTATTTATGTTTTTGGTTAATCTCATTTTTCCGTCTGATTTTAGTGATTTTTTGTTGGCTTTGGTTTCTGTTTATAGTTTCGTCTTAGTTATAACCTACTGTGTTTTGCAATAATTTTGGTGCTACGTTGAAAACTTCGAGAAAAACTTCATTGATTCACCATGCATCTGCATCATAAAAAGAAACGGGTATAACAACTAATTGATAATCAATTTATCACTGGACTAGATTCCGAAATCATTTTTCACATAAGAGAGTAATACACAAAGCAGTGGAGTAATACCACCATCTGTATTTGGAAGGAAAATACCTATTTATCATTGAATGAATAGTTAAAAGGATTCACCTTTTAATACAATACCTATATTACATTTGTCCTCGGTTTAAAAGACGTTTATAAAATATATTATTTTAGTGTTAATAAAATGTAATATCCTAGTCTCTACTTCACATTTAAATTATTGATAGGTATTTTAAAGATTTGAGATTATATACCTATTTGCTGCAAGTAAGTATTCGTTAAATATGTATTATTATTTGTATTTATTTTTATCTAATAATGTTATTTAAGTTATTAATAAACATATTTTAAGAATGTTCTATTTTATTGTTTATTGATATATCTTATATTTATTTAATAATATGCAGAACCAACTCTTCACATCAGACCCCTGCTTATAACAAATTAATTCCTCAAATTTGGTATAATCGACCTAAATTATTTTGTAAAATAAAAGTTTCGAACTTACTAGTTCCATTCTTTATTTTATAAAATAATTTATGTGGAAATCATTTAAAATTTAATTTAAAACTACTACCTACTTCTAAAAATTACAATTTGAATTTACCGCCATCTGTCAATTGTCATTTTAGTTCCAGCTCCAAACACAAGGTGGCGCCAATTTGGTTTAAAAGTTTAACATTGGCGTGGGGTCTCTAGAAGATACGTGCTTTGTGGGATACACTGTGCTCGGAAGTCCGGCGCGCTACGTACTCCCGCATGATAATTGCATCATCTCATTTATATATTATATTAGTATGCAATAAGTCGTGTTTTATGTAGCGTTAAGCGGTTTTTTATGTGAAAATTGAAGTTTTGTGGTTTTCGGCGATCGTGTCAAAAAAATATGAGTTCTACAAAGTTCCGTTATACTAGGCAAGGCATTGAGTGTCCCCTAATTGGTGCTCCTGCAAATTTTAAAGGTAACTTACTTCCTTCGAAAGCTGATGTTTTAAAGTGTTATTTATGGACCAGGTATAATTTAAAACCTCCAAACTCAGGGAAGGAACCAACGTTTTTTGAGATATCTCTTGTACTATCTGACAAAATTTTAAGGTTGTGGCAAAAAGCGTCAATTTCTACCGTAACAAGAAAACATGTTTCGCAATTAATAAAAACTCACCACGACAAGTATTTAAAACTTTTGAGGTTTCCGAAAAGTAAGAAAAATAATAGTTACAAAATAAGTGTCCAGAAATTTCAAATCGAGAACACTCGTCTGTTTGATATTAGCGCTTGCAAATGCGACATTTTTGAACAATGTTCTTGCGATAAGGAAAAAAAGATACCTAAAAATGAATGGGATTTTTTACTATATCAGAGGGGGCCTAGAAAAATGATTATTGGAAACATTGATGTAAAGGAAACCTCAAAGCTGATAAATAAGGCCAGCAGAATGGACAAATTTATGCAAAGGAAAGAACTAGAACAATCCGTCCAACGTGCAAGCAACATCAATTTATCAAGAAAGCAAAAGCCAGAAACTGATATCAAGATAGATCATGAATTGCCTTCCACTTCCTATGACAGTATCAATACAGATATGCAGTGTACACAAAATTACGTCAAACTTTCCACCTTGGCCAAAGTTTGTGACCGCTATGGATTATCGGATAGATCTGCAGCAGCAGTGGCAACTGCTGTGCTACACGACCTTGGAATTGTATGCCAATACAAAAAACGTAATAGACAGAAGTAAGCTGAGAAGAGCAAGAGAGCAATCAAGAAAAAGTTTTACGCAAAACTCCTCAGAAACTTTGAAAGCCATATACTTTGACGGAAGGAAAAATAAAACCTTCGTAATCGAAAATATTAAAGGCAAGTACCACAGAAAAACCATACTCGAAGAACACATTTCTTTAGTTCAAGAGCCGGGCTCTATATTTTTAGGTCACACAGTACCCCTTTCTGGATCGGCTCTAAGCATTCGTCAAAGTATTATCAACTTCTTAGAAAGTAATGGATATAATCTAGAAGAACTAGTGGCAGTAGGATGTGACGGCCACGGTTCCGTCACATACGGCAAAAAAATGGTGCAATTTCTCAAATAGAATTAAAATTAGGACGCCCTTTACAAAGATTTGTCTACTAGCTTCATGCTAATGAATTACCTTTAAAGCATCTTTTTCAGAAGCTGGACGGTCAAACTATGGGTCCAAGAGCTCTTGCAGGAATTATAGGAAAGCAAATAGTGTAGTGCGAAAATATGCCAGTTGTAAACTATAACATTATTGACTGTGAGTTACCAGAAGTAGATTTTCTTGACTCAAGTGCAGATCAAAAATATCTGTTTGAAATTTGTGTTGCAGTTTCTACAGGGAAGTGCTCCGTGGATTTATTGAACCGAAGCCCAGGAAAATTAGGTCATTCTCGATGGCTCACTTTGGCCAATCGCATATTACGTCTTTATGTAAGTACCATAAATCCAACCTCAGAATTAAAGGAACTGACCAAATTTATCGTCAAGGTTTATAATCCTTTGTGGTTTTAAATTAAATGCAACTCATCATGTGTAAATGGTGCAAAGCATGTTTTACAAACGATAAAACGTAGTCGGTACCTAGAGCAAGATTTGAAAAGTGTTATAGACCCTGTAATTCAAAGAAATGCCTATTTTTTTCATACGGAAAATCTTCTGATATGTATGCTGCATGACACTTGCACTTCGTCGCATTCTGAATGCAAAAACTATGGGCAATAATAGTTCAACCAATGTCAGACCTTTTATTATTCCAAAAATTAATTTTGATGCAGATTACTATGTTGATCTGATTGATTGACAAAAAATAAGATAACTTGTCCCCCATTGCTTCAAACTTTAGAAGTGGATGATTTGAAAAATATTATTTCCGGTTCTCCTGAAAAAATCATCGACATCGCTGCATTTCCCTGTCACACCCAATCAGTAGAGAGATGTGTGAAATTTGTTACAGAAGCATCTTTATCAGTTGTTGGGTCACAAAAAAGAGACAGTTTTATTAAAGCAAAAATAGATTCGCGCAAACTTATTCCAAAATTTGACTCAAAAAAGACTATAAACAATAAATAATCGAAAAGGATGAGGGAGGGTGGGATGGAACTGGTCGAGCAGTTACCTCCCCGTGGTAAGTTCTGGGTTGTTTAAACTATACTGAATATTCAATATTTGTGTTTCGTATATAAATCCAATATTGTTTAAACAAGCGAAGAACTGCTCTGTTTGCCGTAGCGTTAACTCTCAGTATCAATATTAATAAAAAAAGAAAAATAAATAAATAAGTCAAAAAATCTAAGTTTTGAAAATCGTTTTGGAATAGTACGCAAAAGTTGCCAATTGGTATTACAAAACTAATGTTTATTTTTGGTTTTTCAACATTTTTTCATCTTCTGTCCTCTACCGGGATTTGGATTATTTATTTTTTCAAAGCCCGGTAGAGGACAGAAGATGAAAAAATTTTTAAAACCCGATAATAAACATTAGTTTTGTAATACCAATTGGCAACTTTTGCGCACTATTCCAAAATGATTTTCGAAACTTCTATTTTTCGCTTCACCCTAATCTATAAGGAATGCTGGATTTGCTTTATCCTTTTCCCTCAGAATTGCCTCTCTTTATAAAATAAAGGTTTTTTAATTTTACCTATAAAAAAAGTATTTTGATAATGCTTGGAAAAGAAGCGAAATATAAATACCTTCTCCAGTGCTTTTTTTCTTATCCATATATTTTGTGTAAAAACTTTGGGAGGTTTACAAATTTTTGGCGCCATTTTTCTCACTCCTCTATTCCTTCCCAACAAAAAAACCAGCTGCATTCATATTTTGTGCAATTTCTTACCAGAAAGATTATTTGGCTGTACATTTATCAGAAAATTTGTAATTTGGTTTTTTTTCGTAGAGCTAAAAAATACGTTGTGGCCACTTTATCAGTCTCTGTCTGGTGAGGTAGTCCAAACTTCATTTGTTGTAACAGGTTCCCTATTTGGCAATTGTTTATTTTTTGAACCTCTGAATTTTGACTATCTTCAATTTCTGTCAGTTGTTGAAGATATTGCTGCACAAATACATCTTTTAAAATGGTTTAAAGAAACGTTCAGAATATAATAATCATTTACTTATGATTGTTTTTCTTTATCAAAAAAATTAAAAAGGCAAGTAAAGCCAAATTATTTGAGCTTACCATTTAATTTTTGTGCAGTGTATTTATCCACAGTGAGCAGAAATTTTCTTAAAATTAGTTCCACTATACCATCTTTTCTTTCATTTTTCTGAACTATTTAAAAATAAAAAAATATATCACAACACAAAAAAGTACATTGAACGAGAAGTAAGGTCAAAGTAAGGTAAAATCATAAAAAAAATTTCGATTTCCATTTTTGGAAAAAAACAGCGGTCCTTTTAAAAGGACGGTAGGATAAAGGGCTACTATTAGAAAAATAAATAAAGATTTAAAAATATTTTTATATATCTTACAAAATGCTTAGCAAAATACTTAAAACTCAAACTTAAAAATTAATTAGTATGATAGGCCACAAAACAGTTTTTTGGATGAAGACCAACGTCACATTTTTGGCACACAAAATTTGATTTTTTGTGACACACAGCACATTTTCGCTGACTCTCGTGATATGTAACTAAATGATCTAGTCTATCGTAACGTGAGAATTGGTGCGCGGTTTTTGGCAATTTCGAAGGTCCTTTCTTAGTTGTTTTCCTGTACGTTTCGAGCAGCTGAGTCCCTAGGTCCCTCCTAAACTGAAGTTGGTCTAGGGTACCACCATCACTCCTATGGAGGTGCCACGAGTTTTGTGAGTCCATGTCGACACAGTGGGAAAATAACGGAAAATACCACTTTTTACCTCGTATTGAAACTCTATATTGGCTTATATTTTGGTCACTACGGTCTACACCTCCCATATTTTCGTTGTACGCCTTGATCAATTGTGGCTGATCTATATAGACATGCTTTTTTTCAGCCTGTGAAAATCGTTTGACCTTATTTACTGGCAAAACTGAACATGCATTGGTGGCTAAAGTAACAACGCTTTTGTCATTCCATTTGCATAAAGCGATTTCATTATCGGCAACACCCCATTCAAATGTACCTCGTGCTTTTTTCTTCAAAACTTTAGCATTGCTAAATGGAGATTGAGGGATCCGGTTTTCACGTATAGTACCAGTTGCCTTGATGTTCCTCAATTTTAGCTCCTTTAGAAGTGACAAAGATGTAAAAAAAATGTCAAAAAATAAGTGAAAGGACTGGTAAGGCATTTTCTGTAAAACATCTGCATATTGGAGAACTGACGCTCCCAAACCCATGTGTTAATATTTGTCTGGAATTGTTGTCGACGCACCTTGGTAGGGATCAAAATAAACAATGTGTCCAAGGCGTAGGGTACCTACCCAAAATTTATACCCCCATATTATAGGCTTGCCTCTAATAAATTGCTTGCCGCTATGTTTCCCAAAATACGGTATCATAGCCTCATCAAAGCTGTGATTCTCTTCAACTGGGGCATAATCAAAAAACTTTTTATTTAGGCTGTTGAAAAGAGGACGCAATTTAGAGTACTTGTCATTTTTATCAAGGGAAGTATTATCATTCCAATGAAGATTACTCATTATGAATTGAAATCTATCTCTGGAAATAGCGGCTGATATAAGTTTATTCTGGGTATCGTTGCAATTTTGCCAATACATATGTCGCCTTGGAACAGTTGTATATCCACTGACAAGTAACACCCCTATGACGAAATACATCTCGTCTACAGTAACGTTAACGGGGCAGTTTTTTTGTTGTGCATAAATATTGGTAAAATTGACATTTTCTCCTACCAAGTTTTCATCAAAAAACAGCTTGAAAATATTTCCAGGGCAACGATTGCTTTGTGCAGTTTGAACTGGTTGCCATTGTATAAATGTAGAATCTAAATCTTTATTGAGAGTATAGTCAAACGTCTTTATGTGTTTAGGTCGCCTTTCAACAAAAGTGGACAGTGGTAGATCCTCATCACTGTCCCCGTCGTCATCACCTTCTACGTCAAATTCGATTTCCGCCGGGGCCCTTAGTTGCACTCCGGGTAAATTATTTGGATCTACATCGTCTTCAGCCCCAGAATCTTCATCGGTATTGTAGTTTTCGTTGGCATTTTCGGGTGGAAAAATTGTAATTCCTGTAGGAATGTCCGGCGTAGAGTCATTCTCCAATTCTTCTAAGAGTTGTGCCATGGTTAGTGGCTTTTTCCAATGCCTGCAAAAAAAACGCATATAATAGCATATAATCCTACCGTCCTTTTAAAAGGACTCGTTAAATTGAACGCCCCTGGAATGATCTAGAAGTGTAAAACATAACCACAAATATAAAAAAAGGTAAGTATATTATGTTATTTATTAAAAATAATCAAAACAGCAACGACAAAATAAACGAGGTTTAACATATCTTACCCTGAGTCACTCATTGCAAAATCACTAACAGCACAGTGTTTTTTAACCGTCACTATCGATCCAAAACTTAACAAAACCCTAACGATGGCGATTGATCTTGTTTAAGATGTCAACTAAATATAACGTGACACTGGCGACATGTTCAAACCGTCAGCTGAATCAGAAAAATATAGGTTTCTTTTTGAAGTCCTTTTAAAAGGACGGTAGGCGTAAATGGGTTAAGAGATAAGATTTTTTGACAGTTTACCGGTATGAAACGGTCTTTGAGACGCTTTCAAAACATTTTGAACCAGAATCAAGTGTGATATCATTAATGGTTCAAGAAAATTAACTGTTTCAAACAGTGTCAAAATAGTTTTTCTAAAAATAATAACCTTAGTCAAAAATATTAGAGATGTTTTACTTCCTTGGATTAAAAAGTGACAAACACAATGTCAAAGCTACCACTTTATTATATTTTAGTGTTTACTAGTTTTAATTTCAAGATGAAATTAATGCTTTAAAAGGGCCCTTACTTCATACGTTTAATTTGTTCCAGATATTTTGAGAGCAAATTAAAATTTATTTTACGTATTTGTATTGATATACAGTAATATTATAGTATTTATAATAGCAGTTTTTAGTTTTAGGTCACAAAATCTTTGTTTTTGTTGTCTAAAAACTGTAACATTTACCTATATCGTCTGAGAAATGTCTTCAGAATCCTGTTTGTTATATTAATAAGATTATTTCCTCCAAAATTTGCCAAATACGAATTCTAAAAAATACAATACATTTATATAGCATATTGACGGTGTATTTTAGTCATATGATATATTGTGTAATATGTTGCAGTTAAAATAATGTCACTTGTTACACAAACTATTATTTTACAACTTTAAATCTAAACTAGATAGAAGTACCTAAAGATGTTTGTAACTATCATTTTTACAAATTTATGCTTAAAATTTTGGAATTGCATAATTATTAATTGCATAATGACTTCAAATGAGATATAAAAAAATGTTTTATTAATACCTGTGTGACTGGATTGGAAATTGAATAGGCAAATTCTCCGGCAATTTCACAGTTTTCACTAATTTTTCATTTTGCCTCAATTTTGTTCTCTTAACGTTATCAGGAATGTAGAAATTTCTTTTTGAAACACTAAAAAAAATTGAAAATATTTTTACAGTAAAGTAAATAGCCTGGAATTTAGATTTTACTGGTCTTAGAGGTATGTAGAATCTGAAAATTCTTTCTTAACTTGTAGTACGTAAGTAGAATGTCAATGACTGGGTACATCTTGTAAAAGTTTTAGAGTATTTTCATTTCCCTGGTTTTGTTGGGAAGATATTGTTTTGCTGTAGCAATATGGCTTCTTTTAAAGTGACCAACAATATGCTTTACCCGTCCAATAATTTTAATGATTTTATCATCTTTGAGACCGTCATATACTACTTAATTATTGATATGAGCAACGCAGCCATACTGTTTCCAGCGTAGTTCATGTATGCCTCTATGATTGCAGCATTAAAAATTAATTTTGAATACTCTACTTTGTTGAAGAACTCTTCTGCTAGATTTTAGAATTATGTTGAACAGTTATTTATCTGGATTCTATTGCCGACCATCGATTCAGCTTTGCCTACTAATTTGTTTTGGATACAAAATGTGTTCATTTAATTCTATGTCATTATATACTGCAAGGGTATTAATTAAACTTTCACATCTAGTAATAAAAATGTTTTAAGCATCACTATTTCCTTTAAATGGTTTTATATTTTGTACTTTTGATTTAAAGAGTTCCCAATTAATTGGAGCCCTTTGTGGTTGAACTTGGACATTCGCCATATCGTTTAAGTTATCTTCACTATCAGAACTATTATCAAAATTAATTTCAAAATTATCTGTATCGCTATCACTATCTAATAAAAAAGTATTTAAAGAGTCCAAATCTTTAATCTCTGGTATAACAATAGGTGGATTAGTTTTCATAAATAAATTATTTTTTTGTTGAAAGTTATATTCATTTACTTTCAAAATTATTAGTGATTACTATTATTAATATATATATTTTTCAATATTTCTCTTTTGTTAGTATTACATTATCTTTTTATTCAAGTATTCTTTCAAAATATAAATCTTAACAAAACCTTAACAATACTATTTTTCCTACTACCTCTGAAGGGATTTGAAAGAAATGAAAAATTAGCACTTTCGCAATTTCTTCTGAAGTCCTTTCTCCGATTATTTTCCTCGAAGTCTTCTCGGTGGCACTGTCGGCTTGTTCACTTGGAAGTTGAAAGTCTCTGGTTAGGTAATTGGACACTTAAGGAATTGGAACTCCAAAGCCAATAGAAATTCTTCTTTCGACTGAAGTGATGATTTCTTTTTGACCGTGTCACTATCCTACTGACTGCGCCAGTTTTAACTTTGGAAGCGAAAACATATTTTTTAAAAAGAAACTTTAATCACTTTTGTGAACTAACAATGCTAACTTTTGAGAACGTATATTCTAATACAAGAACAAAGTATCGAGTCTAAAAGAATAATGAATAATATAATACATGTTTTACTATTTATATGAAAGAAAAGTAACATTATCTTGTTTACAATATTTATAAGGTTACAATTATATTTTAGGTGACTAAGGGAATACTTTGATATAACTCCGATATTCTTTTTTGTCCAGTTCTCCGAATTCTACTGAACGCAGAATTCCTAGAATTGCTGGAAATAATTTGTACTTTATAAATAACCTCAATTTGCATAAATTATACAAATTTTATATGATCATTTTATAAATTATTCTTCTAAGTACCAATTTTCATCTTATTATAACTTTTAATTGCTGTATTGCATAATGTAAATACCTTAATCAATTTGTCTTTATTTATATTTAGAAAATTGAAAAATACAACAATAGATATTGTTGTAGAAAATTGGTACCTATATAAAATTAAAGGCTCTGTCACGAAATAGGGCTGAACGAAATAGCCTTGATTGAAATACCGCTTATGAAAAGAGCGCCTGAACGAAATAGCGTTCATGAAAATAGCGTCAGTCGAAATAGCGCCTGAACAAAACAGAGCCTGAACGAAACAGTGCTTGGAGCCATCGCGGGGTTTTTCCGCAAATTTTTTTATATTAAATTATTAAAAAAAATAACAAATTTACATAACCTGTGCGGCCTGGAGCCAACGCCGATTGCTTTACAAAAAATATACACAGAATTAAAAAAAAAATAAAAAACAACTAATTTACCTAACCTGTGCGGCCTGAAGGCATTTTAAATTTAACGGATCGCTCACGCACAGGGTAAGTTAACTAAGTTATAAAATTTTCTCATGATGGCTCCAGGCACTGTTTGATTAGGGCTAGAGTGCTATTTAAATAAACTGATAATGCTTCGGTACGCGCTACTTTAAGTAGGCACTATTTCGATAAATGCCATTTTGATTAGACATTTAAAAATAGCGCCATTTTGATACGCACTATTTCGTTGAGCGCCATTTAGTGACTGATCCAGAATTAAAAAAGGCAATCTTATCATTATTTGTTGAAATTCTGAATAGAAACATAGCATCATATATTTATAAAAATATACTTATATAAATGGTTTTATTTCTAATGCAAATCTTAAGGCTAAGATAAAAGTTTTACAGATTTAAAAATTTTCCATTAAATTTGGGTAAAAAAAAAATATTTTAACGAAAAATATAAAAAAAACATATATAAAACAATTTTTTAATGGACTTACTTATTTGCTATATCTTATTGTTTCTTTTTGTATTCATTTTGTATAAATACCTTTATTTTAAGCCAATCTTTGTTACTAAGCATTTCTTTGTGTTGTTCCTTAAGCTCTTCACATTCTCTACGTCTCGGGGGTGTTTTTGATTTAATATGATTTGTAAAATATTTTTTAACAACTTTCTTTTGTCGACTAGTCCATGGGACGAGTGTTCGAAATTTCCCTTTTTTGGGAACTATAATTGTGGAAGTAACATGAGAACTATTCTGTTTAACAGAAGAACTTGAAGATCGGGGCAAACTTTCATAAACATCATCCTCATTATCACTCTTCTTACTTGATTCGTCGTCACTAAGTAAATTCTGTTCCATATCTATATCTATGTCATCCAAAGACTTACCTTGATAATGATTTGCACCACCTTTTTCCATTATCAATAAAAGTTTAGATATTTTGGCTGTCTGATACACATCATCAGGTAATCGATATGAACTTCTATGTACCCCTGGTGTATGCCCCATAAAGCTTGCTAATTGTTCAATTTCTTGTTCTGATAAATTAAAAAGTTAAGAAAGCATAGCGAGATGCTTTCGCAAACGGGTTGATGTTATTGATGATGGATTTTTAGCCACACAACTCTTAGCATACTTATTCAATGTTTTGTAACCAATAAAAGGAGATAACGAATTTGCTTTGGCAAAAAGGTATTTATTATCTTTAGGCATGTACTTATTGCGTTCTTCAATTAGATATTTAAGGTGATTCTGTACATCAATGCTAAATAATACTGGCACTCCCCTACCTCTTTTCCCTCTTATGACAACCCTTTTAAATGTGTTTAACAAAATTTGTTCTGTAGAAGATACTACTTTATTAAATTCTTCATATTCTTCCTGTTCGGAGACATTTGTATATGTATGCAAATGCATTCGTTCTAATTCGCCAGAACGTTTCCTATTTAACAATATAACTCTGCAGTATACCCACATACTTTGATTACTATACGAGGCAAAAGAGAGGCCCGACACGCCCAACATAGGGCGCGGCCATTTTGAACTCTGTGACACAGTTTACAGCTAAAGAATCAGATCGCTCACTCTGCGTCAACACTTTGGATCTCAATGTTTCAGTTTATACACTGTGCAACTCGGATAATACAATATATGACAACCGCCTATAATAAAACAGCAGTCTTCTGCGTATCCTGAATTTGTATCCCTGGAGTGGATGTTATTTTGGAACTTTCAACTGGTCCGAGTGAGCTAACTGATTCTTTAGCAATTAACTGTGACTTCAAAAATAATATTCACTGACACTGACAGCAGCAAGCAAAATATCAGGTGCGTTTTAATCATCCACTGCTACTTCCGGAATTGTCGGTTTAGTCGTTTTAACCTGTCAGATTAAAACAAGAAAACTGACAATTCCGAAGCAGAAGCGGATGATTAAAACGCACCTATTAAAAATATTGCGCCAAGATGTAGGCAACACGTAATAAGGGTTCAAAATGGCGGAGTTTTCTATCTCCTTTTAAAAGGCACTCAGAAAGCTGCGCAGTGCGACCATTCTCCGTATAGTAAAAGAAAATCAAAGTATGTGAGTATACCGATTCCATTAACACGTTCAGTGACAGTTCCCATATCGAAATTCCACTTCATGTGACACTACCGTTTTATTGTGGGAGTAGATTCGTTACTGCTTTAGGTAAGTGATTTATTTGAACTTTGGTGTGAAAAAAAATATTATGTGGGTTTTTTTATTATTTTGTGATGAAGCCGATAAGCGTCCTGTCACGCTGTCGAAATATATTGGCTTCTGTCTTCCCATGACGCTGAACGGCGTTATAAATAAAAACACATAAAAAAATGTAAATAAAAAAAATATATTCAAAAACAAAAGCGTTTCTAACCATAATAAAAAATTCTTATTATTACAACTACATTCTACCAAAAGTGTTACATCTATTTGTTATGCCACTCCTCAAAACAGGAAGGACACAGAGGTGGTTTTCCAACACATCCCTTGCATCGGCAGCTCATTACGCGGCGTGTGTTTTTCATAGTACATAGTTTACACTTTAGAAAAACAGACTTCTTTCCAGACTTAGGTCCTGGGACACCAGGAATTTTCTCTAAGTTTTCTTCTGGTACAGAATTTTGAAATCTTCTATTACTATGTCTGCTCGTTCTTACTAAGTTCTTTATCTCGATGTTTTCGGACAGGTTTAGGAGGCACTTGATCAAGTTATTCCTGAATTGAAGATAAGAGTATTTTCTGTTAGCGCCTTTGAAATACTTTCTGTAAAGGTAGAATGCATTCCAAACTGACACGTCCAATAGATGGAACATCAATTTTTTGTACCATCTAAGCGTCTTGCATGGAGAAGAGTACGTTGAAGTCATTTGATCGCATCTATCGATTCCGGACATGTGATTATTATACGTAACAACTTCTTCAGGCTTCATATATTCTTTTCCAAACTTGTTTGTCGTTGTCACCAAGCGTGGATGGTTCCGAGTTGTAATCACGAGAACATCTCTCTTGTCCTTCCATTTAGAGACATATAAGTTTCCTCTGCGTTGCCAGATATGTTTCCCCTTTTTAAGTATAGATGACACAACTTTCTGGGGATTGTTCTTTCGATTAGCCCTTAGAGTTCCGTTTGTGTGTGTTTTCAATTTCAAAAGCTTCTTTGATAACTCGTAGCTGTTGTAGTAGTTGTCCATGAAAATGTGGTGTCCTTTCATAAGATAGGGCTTCAGCAGTCTTAGTACGAGAGTGGTGGTATTACTGACACTGTTGTCAAGTGCTGCAGTCTGAGCATCACTATACATTTCCATGTTGAGAAGATACCCATCTAAAGTGGTTACCTCGAAGAACTTGATGCCATATCTACTTTTCTTGTTTTTTATATACACTCGGAATCCTAATCTTCCACGAAAATGTAAGAGACTTTCATTCAGAGAAAGTTCCTTGCCTAGACCGTAGACGCTCTGGAATTGAGCGATTAACATAGAGATGAACTTTGTCTTTGGATCTCGAACCAGGAGGAGAACAGCAGAAAACTCTGAGGATTTGTTGGTAACGCCTTCCAAACATGGTGAAACTGAAGAATGGGTGATAATACAACGGATCAGAATAAGAAAAATAGCGTTTCATATTTTTTGTAGATATCTGGCCTTGAAGCAAGCATAAGCCAAGAAATTCCTTCATTTCATCAATTGAAATGGGGCGGAAATTTACGTCTTTGCAATGTCTAGTTTTTGGTCTGTTGATGTTGACTAAGCTATTTCCATAGGCATTTGAACATTGTAAAATATATTCTTGTATTTCAGGAGTGAAAAGCTTTTCAAATACCTGAAGTGGAATGGAATTGTCATCAAGGGTGATTTTTAAACAGTTGCTAGCTTCATAGAAGTCAAAATCTGGTATATCTGTTGTTGTGTCCTCCCAATCGCTGTCCCCATTGTTTTGAGATTGCTGAACAAACACTCTTGGTGATGAACTTGGAGAAAGGTCTTAATCATTATTAGGGTCATTTTTAGCCTCCGAATTGGAGCTCAAATCTGCTTTGTCATGCTCCACATCTGACTCTGAAGAATTTTCACTTGGTACATAGTCCTGATCCGATCCATACTCTCCATCATCCTCATATGGATCTGATTTTTCAAGTTCAGATCCAGAAGATAACTCGTCAAACAAGCGTTTCAACCTGCGTTGCTCCCTCTCATAAGGATCGTTTGTATAGCCATTGTTGTGTATTTTCATTAAAAGACCACACTTTTAATAAGACATTTTATTTTGTTCCAAACTTCGAAAATACAAAAAGACCAAAAGTGCAAAGTCACGATGTTGGCAGTTGACATTCCAAGTCTCGTCAGTATTGCCAACCTTGTACGAGCCTGCGTTCATAACATCTCCCCTTCTTAATTAAAGATCTAACTTACGTATGGGTTTGATAACTCCACCAGAACGTGAGACTTGGAAAGTTTCACTTTCTACATCATTGGAACTTACACTATTCTTAGGTGATATCTGTTGGGATACCGAAGTAGCATTGTTTTGTGGAGGTACCAATGGTTGTGTAAATGGTGAAGACTGCTCAGGTGAAGGGTTTTGTTGTACAATAGGTTTATCCTGATGAAAAGACACCTTGATTTCCACAAAACAGTCCACTGGTAGAAGGTATATCTAAGGATACAAGATTAGGTACATCACTTGAGTCTAGGGATACGATATCGGATAAAAAGTATCGATACTCGGTATCGAATAAGTATCGTTTGAGCAGTATCGATATCCACGAAGTATCGGAAAAAAGTATCGATACCACGAAGTATCGATACCCAACCTAACATAAAAAAATTGTAAAGTGTGAAACAGATCTTTTTTGTAAGAAAAAATGAAATTATAGCTTTGTTTTTTTAATGACAAAATTTAGATTCTACTCTTCTCTTGCAACATTTTTTTTCGGCAAATGATCCAATAGCTTTTACTTATAGGATAGGTTAAAATCAATGTTAAAATTAAATAAACTTTATGAAATGAAATACCCAATATATTTTTTCTTTACATTAAAAATTAAACACATGTTAATAATGGCAATTATTTATTTCGAAAAAAGTTTATTATGTAACACTTACCAAATAATATAGATAATACAACTTATTGAACATTTGTAGTATTATTGAGAATACATATTCAAAATATATGACACAATTAAAAATACAACCTATCCAAACCATTCGTCTTCAGTACAATCTCCTAAAAATAATAATCTTTCTAGCAACTCACTCGAAAGGCGATTTCTGTCTTGAGTTACACTACCACCGGCTTTGAAAAAAGCCTTTCTGAGGGTACTGATGTTCCAACAATACAAAAATGGGAAATGGCTAGGTTGTAGAGAGACCTAAATACTTGTTTTACTTCCTTCCAGTAAGTCATTGGGTCGGAATTAAGTGGCATGACTGGATTGGATAAATAAACTGTCAGCTCATCATTGATTTTTGAAGTAGTCTGCTGGCTTTTCTGATTTTGAGCATGTGCCAGTGTTTTGTGGTAATTCCAAAAATCATATTTTTTTTGTTCTTCTGATGTAGATGGTCGTGTTGGTGAATCATCTCCTTCTGACTCACTGGAACTTTGTTGGCTAGCAATTGTCTTCCTGATGTAGTCAATTGATTTAGAACAAGCGAGTGGGTCTTCAAAGTGAATTCTTTTAAAGCGTGGATCCAGTAAAGTTGACACTGTTAAAAAGTAATTGTATTCCATTTTACCAAACCTTTTAGTTATTTCATCAAGTAACTTTTTTTTCAATGCCATAACAATTTCCAATTCTGATGTTATATTTCGTAATTGGTTTTTTAAACAGTTAACCATTGGTATTATTTTGGATATTGTAATGTACAATTCTCCAGAAGCCTCTCTAGTCACA